AAAAAAAAAAAAAAAAAGAATCAATTTTTTACACAATCATTTCCTCTTTGTCTAGGGTAATATAAATAAACTGGAAGCTAAGGAATCTCAAATTGACGATATTTGTTACTTAAAGCATTAATGACCTCATCAAGATCTTTGTCAACCTGAACTACTACTTGCCCTTGATGCCTCCACCGCATGAGTCTACTAGATAGATCGATGAGCGTCTGAACCCCATCTTCATCAATATGGAGCTGGATTAGCCTTTTAATGCAATTGATCAAGTACTTGGCAGCCTTTATTTTCACCTGGCAAATAAAATCTACTCCTCTCTCGTCAGTCTCATATAATGAAGTAGACATACTCTCAATGATATCAGTTAAACTGAAGACAAGACAGGCACCTGCCATAGCCTCCCTTTTGTTGAATTTGGCAGGAAACAAAACTGAGTCTTCCAGCTCATGAGCTTTCCCTTTTCCATGTTTCAGTCCAACACCACTTGTTTCCCCTAAATGAATGATTCTACCAGTTGCAGCATAATGCAGCAGCAACTCACATCCATCTTCGTTTATACAACTGGGGAAGCCAACCAAGATCCCCAGGGGGATCCTCCTGAACAGCACATTTTGCTTCAGGTTAAGACCATTGGATCCTTTCACTTCATGAGAGGAAGGATTGTTGACACTCACCACACTGTATTGCACATATAAGCTTTGGAATTCTTTGAGCCAGAGTCCAATACTTTGACAATCATATTCTTTTTCAACAGTATAATCCTCCTTGCTGTCATTGAGTTTGGGTTTCTTAATTTTCTTCCTGTATCCAGCTTCTTCTTTGTGATTTTCACCTGAGCTAAATTGGTTTAGGGTCCAAGCCCCTGATATTTTAGTCAAAATTTCAACCACCAACTCCTGCTTAGATTTATCGATGGGGTTCAGAATCCATGCAATGTACCTTGCAGCAGCAACAGATACTGCTTCCACATCTTGCATTTGTCCAATTTTAGGTTTCCCCAATGAGCCTTTTAAATGAAAATTTCCTTGAAATCTCTCAGAGAAGAGTAATATGGAAGCAAAATAGAACCAATCAGGAAAGCTGATTGCCAGAGCCCTGCTGTGCAACAGTTATAAACAATTCTAGATTAATTGGATCAAAATAGAACAGCAGCCTCAATTATTTGCATGAAAATTCAGAGTAAGAATTTACCAGATAGATTTATGATCTATAGTCCCAACCTTCGTTGCAGATAGGTTGATCGTTGGATCAATTTTTGTGACATGAAGAACTGGTTTGCTCGTAGCATGAACTAGACGTACAAAACTTTCAGATGTAAGTGGCCCAGCCAACGTCCTCAGTAAGTGGTTCTTGTAAGGAAAATACGCACTAGAAAATGGTAGCTTAGATCCAAATTCCAATGATAGGCCCCACCATGATGGACAGGAAATTATGTCCAGTATCACAGAGGTTAATCCAATAAGAAGCTCCAATATGGAAGATAGACCCCTGTTATAAAACTAAATCAATATGATTTATGGGTTATGCTTGTCGATTACAAGGATGAAATCCAAATAAGAATTCAAAACAGAAGAAAAAAAGTGGGGAGGGGGGAAACCCATTATAAATGCTAAAGTTAGGGACATGCAAAGACAATATAGTTATCACAAAACTATTTACGGCAAATGAAATGGTAAAGAGAACACATAGGTAGATAACATTTGAAGAAAAAGAAAATAAATACATAACCAATTCAGTTCATTAATTACAAGAACGATTTAAAAGAAAATCAGGAAGAAATGTTATAAGTTTGGAAAAGTAATTGGCATGTCGTAGAGTTAGATACTAAGCTATAAGATTAACATTCAAATGAAGGCTATCAGTATGTGCTCTGATAAACTTTTCAAGATGAAATGTAGTTCCTCCTAAAGGTATTAAGCTAGAAAGTCCATCAGATTGTTAGAATTAGGCATCATAAGCAACAGAACCAATTTGGAAAGAAAAAGTTAAAGAAACTACTATTATGAGCTTTATGCAGATGAACATGCACAAACTTTAGGCATGTACTCAAAACTCAAGTATAGCCCAAACTTCAATAATTCCAGCACAGAAGAACATATAAAAAGAATTAACAAGACTCATGGTGAGCATCCACAAGATTCAGAAACAGAAACTCACGTTAGCAGAAACCAGTTATGTAACAGAGCTCTTGTCTCGATAAATATAACAGGAGAAAGTGCCAAGCATATAACTATAGCATGCCAATCCACTCTCTCATGAAACTCCTTCTTCAAACAAAGGAAAGGCCTCTCAGTTGTATCTTGTAAAATTTTTGAAACATCATGCTTAAGCATGAGTGGATCAAGATACCAGAAGAGCAACCTGCATGAAATGAAAACAAATTTTGATAATTTAAAGGAACTCAACAACCATGTGATAGAATTGAAACATTAAGAACAAGGTTGGGCACTCTAAAAACCAAAATTATATTCAAACATAAACAACAATATTTTAGTAAAAATAAACTTAATCATAGCAGACCTCAATGGTATTTCATGGTTTTCAAGGGAGAATTCTCTGGGTAAATAACAGAGCAACTTTGACACAGCAGAGGTTCTACCATCAATAGATTTTACATCAAGAAAAACCATCAAAGGGAACGAAAACCAGTACAAACATGCTGAAACAGCTACTCTTACAACAGCACGTAAAAGCAGATGTGAAAGCACCCCTGCAATATATTAACATACTCATTGAAAATGACAAATATGTTTGTAATAATATAAAAAAAGAACGTTATTTAAAGAATTAATAGCAAAAAATTTGTTCCTTGAATATAAATATGAAAGGTCTAAATACCAAAAAAACATAATTCAATAAAATTTACCAAAAAAAAAAAAAAAAAGTACGCAATACAGACCACGCCCCTTCAGTTTCTCAAGCACGTCATTACAAGCTTCCATTAGTTCCTCACAATCGTGGCGAGAAATCGAGCTACCGATTTGCAAAATTTCTTCATTTCGAAAGGAAATCACTTTACAAGTAATGGAAGAAGATAAAACACTGATAATCGTCTTCACTGAAAACTCAATTACCGAATCAAAAACCTAAGAAGAATTCAATGAAGAAATCACACAATTAGACAAAATAGAACATACTCTTGAAAAGCCTAATTGAAGAATCATTGAGAGGGAGTGACCTTGGGTGCACCGAAGCACATGAGAGAGAGAGCCACGTCCAAAACCCTAACCCTAGAATTTTGGCTGATGTTCAGGGATTTATTTAGCTTTGAAATTGAGAGATTAATAGATAATTCTTCTTCTTCTTCTTCTTCTTCATTTTGGTTTAGGGTTTGCAGATGTGAAGTGAGTCTGGAGAAAAGATCAACTATTTCTGGTAACGTGGTCATGTTGTCGGTGAATCGGACGGCTAGAGAGTGGTGATGACTGATGACTACCAATTATGATTACGACAGTAGACTATGATTTCCCGCCAAAATTGAATTGCTTACCTTATGATTGTTGGGCTTGGGCTTTCTGTAGCTGGCCTTGAGATAAAACGTTAATCAAATTATTTTAGTAAGACTTTATCCTCCGATACTTTTAGGAGGTGTTTGGTTGGTGGTTATATGAGATTATTGGGGTTATATCATCTTATATTAATTTATTACCACATTTGGTTGTCAAGTAATATAAGATTCTGGTAATCTTCAAATACCAATAGTAGTTACTATTGGTAATATTGGAAGTAATCTGATTACCTCCATTTTCTTAGGTATTCTAAGATTACCCTTCTTTTTTTGTTACAGTTCTATCGCTTATGAATAAAATTTTAGAACAATAATGCCCTTATTTTTAAATTTATTTACATGAATAAGGCTTTTACTTTTTCACCCCAATTAAATAACTTTTTGGACAAAATTACCCTTGAATTCAAAACAAATTGCAGCCCACCCAAGCCACCACCCCCACCCACCTGTAGCCGCCTGCAATCACCGCAGTGATAAGCTGTCGCCGCAACCGGAACGGTGCACGAAAGGCCAAAATGGTCGTCGTGCGCCAATATGGCCATTTCCGACCAAATATATGGTCGTCAAAGGCAAAATTTGTCCTGCCTGGCCATTTTCGGCCATATCTCTGGCCGAAAATGGCAAAATCGTGCCAGATTTGGCCGTCAAAGACCAGATCCGTTGATCTGGCCGTTAACAGCCACGTATGTGGCCGTCAACGGCCATATTTGTCATGTCTGGCCATTTCCGGCCAGATCTCTGGCCGGAAATGGCCATACTAAGCATGGAGGTCATTTCCTACCTTTGCTGTGCCATTAGGTTGCCGGCTGCCAGCGGCCTACGGTGGTTTCCGGCTGCTGGTAGTGGCTAGGTTGGTAGGGGTGCTTCGTTGATTTTCCAAACTTTTATTATGGGGTTGTTTTTGCTAAGTTTTTAAATGCAAGGGGGTTATAAAGACAAATAATAATCAATATTAAAAAATAATATAATAATAATATTTAATTAGAGGACAATTCAGTAATTTAAATAACATACCCACCAATTTATTCCTCCCAACCAAACATATTCATATAACATACCTACCAATTAACCAAACACATTTTCCTAAAGATTCCCAATAATCTTCAAAGTAATATAACTTTCCAATAATCTAACATTCCCTGAACCAAACGCCCCCTTAGAGTAATATTACATTAACAACCATTTCTCATAAATTTTCTCTCACAACTCTGACGTGGCAGTTTGCAATTAGTCAGCTTGTAATTAATTGGTGGGACTCATACGGGACTCACGTGAAACCCGTTATGAACTAATCAATTGCGAGCTGTCATGTCAGGGTTGTGAGAGAAAGTTTTTCTCAATTATGATTGCAACAGCGAACTAGGATTTCCCACCAAAATTGAATTGCTTACCTTATTATCGTTGGGCTTGGGCTTTCTGTAACTGCCCTTGAGATAAAACGTTAATCAAATGATTTTAGGAAGACTTTATCCACCGTAACTTTTAGAGATACTACACCAACAACCATTTCTCACAAACTTT